CACCTTAATTCCTAAACCACAAAATGACACAACAGAGAAAGAGAACTATAGACCAGTATCCCTGATGAATATAGATGCAAAATCCTCAACAAAATACAAACTAATGGAATCCAACAACCCATCAGAAAGATCATTCAAATGCACCAAGTGGAATTTATCCCTGGTATGAAGTGATGGTTCAACATCCACAAATCAATAAGTGTGACACATTACATCAATGAAATGAAGAATAAAAACCTTATGATTATCTCAATAGATGCAGAGAAATCACTTGATAAAATAAAACATCATTTCATCATGATGGAAACCTTAAGCAAATTGGGTATAGAAGGAACAATCCTCAACACAATCAAGGCAATTTATGACAAACTCACAGCCAGTTTCTTATTAAATTGGGAAAAGTTGGCAGCATTTCCACTAAGATCTGGAACTAAACAAGAATATGCCCTTAGCGGTAGATGGGAGAGGTGTGGGTGGGAGGGAAGGTATGGGGGAGAAAAAGCCATTGTAATCCATAAACTGTACTTTGGAAATTTATATTTATTAAAAGTTAAAAAAAAAAAAAAGAATATGCCCTTTACCACTGCGATTCAACACAGTCCTGGAAGTTTTAGCCAGAGCCATTAGGCAAGAAAAAGAAATCAAAGGGATGCAAACTGAGATGGAGGAAGTCAAACTATCCCTATTTTCAGATAACATGATTCTATACATAGGAGATGCAAAAGATTCCACTAAGAGACTACTGGAACTCAGAAGAGTTTGGTAAAGAGGCAGGATATAAAAAAAAAATACACAGAAATCAATAGCCTTTGTATACACAGACAATGCCACAGTTGAGAAAGAACTTCTAAGATCACTCCCATTCACAACGGTCACATACACACACACACACACACACACACACAAAACAAATACCTTGGAATAAACTTAATCAGGGATGTCAAAGATCTCTATGATGAAGATTATAAAACATTAAAGAAGGAAATAGAAAACACAAAAAATGGAAAAATCTTTCATGTTCATGGATTGGAAGAATATCAAAATAACCATATTTCAAAAAGTAATTTACAGATTCAATGTGAAACCAATCAAAATACCAAAGATGTTCTTCTCAGATATGTAAAAAATGATGCTGAAATTCATATGGAAAAACAGGAGACCCCAAATAGCAAAAGCAATCTTATGCAGCAAAACAAAGCCAGAGGCATCATAATACCAGGTTTCAAGACATACTACAGGGCAGTTATAATCAGTCTGGTACAGTTATAATTAATGGTATAAAAATAGATGAATAGACCAATGGAACAGATTAGAAATGCCAGAAATCAACCCATGCATCTACAACCAATGTACCTTTGACAAAGGAGTTAAAATCATTCCCAAGAGCAAGGACAGTGTCTTCAACAAATGGTATTGGGAAAACTGGATCTCCATATGCAGAAGCATGAAGCAAGACCCCTATCTTACATCTTACACAAGAATCCACTCAAAATTGATTAAAGACCTAACCTAAATCTATGGTACGATGCCATCAAATTATTATAGAACACTGGGTAAATCCTGTTAGACACTGGCGTAGGTAAAGAGTTCTTGGAAAAGACCCCACAGGCATAGGCAATCAAAGTCAAAACTGACAAATGGGATTCCATCAAATTGAGAAGCTTCTGCATTGCAAAAGAAACACTCAGCAAAGTGAAGAGGCTACCAACAATGGGAGAAAATATTTGCACATTGTGCAACTGGTAAAGAAATAATAACCAGAAACTATAAAGAGATCAAGACCCTCAACAACAAAGCAAACAACCCAGTGAAGAAATGGGCAAAGGAATATAAACAGGCATTTTCCAAGAGGAAATCCAAATGGCCAATAGTCACATGAACAAATGCTCAGGGTCACTGGCTGTTAGGGAAATGCAAATCAAAACCACAATGAGGTTTCACCTCACTCCTGTTAGAATGGCTTTCATACAGAAATCAACAAACAACAAATGTTGGTAAAGATGTGGGAAAAAGGTACCCTAATCCACTGTTGGGAATGTAAACTGGCGCAGCCACTGTGGAAGACAGTATGGAGATACCTCAGAAATCTGAATATAGACCTACCATATGACCCAGCCATTCCACTCCTGGAAATTTACTCAAGGGAAATAAGATCAGCATAAGCGTTATCTGTATCCCTATGTTTACTGCAGCTCAATTCACAATAGCTAAGATACAGAATCAAGCCCTCATCTGAAGACTGGATAAATAAATTACGGGATATACACATCATGGAATACTACACAGCAATAAAACATGAATTCTTGTCATTTTCAACAAAATGGATGAAACTGGAAAACATCATACTTAGTGAAATAAGCCAGCCTCAAAAGTGCAAATATCATATGTTCTCCCTTATTTGTGATAACTAACAGAGCACCTAAAAGATAATCTATGGAAGTGAAATTAACACTTCAAGATGCAGTGATTTTGAACAGCCCTTGTCTTGACTGTTGAGGAACATTTTTTTTTCATACAATTTGTTGAACTCTTTACTTAGTATAGAGTTAACTGTAAGTGTATAAAGTTAATTGAAAATGTATTTTAGTAAAAAATATGAATGGGAATAGGAGAGGGAGGATGAGGGGTAGGAGTAGGGGTGGGAGGGTGGGTGCAGTGGGAAGAATCAATATATTCCTGAAGTTATATTTATGAAAAGCATGAAGTTTGTATTCTTCTAAAAAGTTTCTGGGGAAAAACATAAAAATAACTATAAAAAAAATTAGGACCCATGACATTGTGAGGAATACTCATGTATTCCCAAACTTTGAAGTGGAGGAGATGTGTTAACTGATCCATTATCCAGCCTCTGAAGTCAAGATTATGGTAGGGGAGCACTGAGTAGTGTTAAGAATCCTGACATTTTGCTTTATTAGTTTCTGTGTAAGGTAAAAATGCTGCTAGTGCAGAACTCTTCAATTTTCACATGCTGACATAAATCACTCACCATTTTTTCATATCAATTTAGAATAACAATTTTATTAAAAACAAAAATAAATCTAAAAAGCTACAGTTACACAGTATACACAAGAATTTTGGCATTGCATCCTTTTACATGAAATGTTCTGAATGATGGAAGCCGAACTCGAGTTTACTACACCTTGAAGAGAGGAGGTGAGTGCTGACAGGAGGACACCAAAGTTTCACAGGCAAGACCTGTGGCCTTTGGCTACAGGCAGGGGCTGAAATTAGGAAACATGAAAGACATCTGAAGAAAAACAGATATTCAAAACTCTAAATACTTCAGCAGAAAGAGCCAGTCACTTGTAAACAACTTTTTAAAGAGATCTCCTCAGTATGCTTTGTTGCCATAAGGTAAATATTCTTAACTGACTTTTACTCAACTCAAAAAAGCCATTTTTATGGCTGAGGAGTATTTCCCTCTAGATTAGACAAAAGCTTTGCTTTCTTAACCTGGAGGCAAGATTAAATGTAATTAGGCCTTCTTCAGGAATTGTGAATTTCTTTCTCTCTCTTTCTTTTTTTTGATTTACTTATTTATTTGAAAGTCAGAGTTACAAAGTAAGAGGGAGAGACATCAGCTGGTTTACTCCTCAGATGGCCACAATGGCTGGGTCAGGCAGAAACCAGGGGCCTCTTCTGGTTGTCCCACACTGGTGCAGGGCCCAAGCACTTGGGCCATCTTCCGCTGCTTACCCAGCACTTTAGCAGGGAGTTTGATGGGAAGTAGAGCAGCTGGGACATGAAATGGCGCCCTTATGGGATGCTGATGTCGCTGGTGCTGGCTTTACCTGATTCATCATTAAGCCAGCACTTGTGAATTTCTTAGACTAGGACATTTTAGCTCCTTGCTTTTCTGTTTTTCTATTTTTACCCAAATAAGAGGGTTAGAATAAATCAGCAAAACAGAATTGGCCGGAGCCGCGGCTCACTAGGCTAATCCTCGGCCTGCAGCGAAGGCACCCGGGGTTCTAGTCCCAGTTAGGGCGCCAGATTCTGTCCCGGTTGCTCTTCTTCCAGTCCAGCTCTGCTGTGGCCCGGGAGTGCAGTGGAGGATGGCCCAGGTCCTTGGGCCCTGCACCTGCATGGGAGACCAGGAGGAAGCACCTGGCTCCTGGCTTTGGATCGGCGCAGCACTGGCCGTAGCAGCCATTTGGGGGGTGAACCAGCGGAAAGAAGACCTTTCTCTCTGTCTCTCTCTCACTGTCTAACTCTGCCTGTCAAAAAAAAGAAAAAAAGAAAAAAAAAAAAGAAAAAACAAAACCCAGAATTAATCAAGTTTGGCTCCTGGAAGGTTTGATGAGTGAAGATACCAAGGAAACTGTCTATGGATCCTAATTATCCACGGTGTACATCTCCAGGTATAACAAGGACTTAAAAGTGTGAGATTGGCAACACAACTACTTAGAAAAACAGAGTAAGGCTGAACTGTACTCAATGTCCAGGACATCTATGACACTGAAATGCAACTTACTATAAACAAACAAGCAGCTGTTCAACAGCTTTTTGCATTTGGTACCATAACTACAATCTACTCTCTTCCATTTACCTATTTGGATATTCTTATGATTACATATAATATTAACAATACATTTTCCCTTTAAGTATGTTATAATACAGCAGAGCATATGAGTGACTAAAAATAAAATCTGAAATCTCCAATGCTAAATGCTATGGCAATGTCAAGCCTTAGCATTCATGCCTGCACGTCTCATGCTCTGAGATAATTGGTGACTAGGTCCCTTTTGGTGGGGTTGACAGATGTACACTCAAGCAGCAATGCTGGGTCATGCTTCTCAAAAGGTATGTTCTCCAGGTATTTTTTGTGTCAACTGTAGTTTACTATTGGTAATATGTTGACGTCAATAAGAGTTTCAGGAAGGTAATTCAATTATTTGGAAATGACAATTCCTTCTTTTTATGGAAATTAAGTGATAGAAAACATTTAGTTCCCAGAAGCTCTCTAATAATAGTCTCGGAAGAAGCTAAAAATGACACAATTTAGTACAAACTGTCCTTTACTTTTATTGCTTGTATACATAAAGATTCATTATAAAACTCAGGGGGACGAGGAAGAAATAATGGAAGAAAAAGTTACCTGCTTTAGCATTTTTAAGAATAGTTTTGATAACTTCTTAGATCAACTTGCTTATCTGAAATAGAGCAAAATCTACAATACAATCATGATAGAATTCTAACAATTGGAGTAGTTATGTTTTTATTTTTTTCTCTTCATATAACGTTAATGCTACAAAATGAGATTGATGACACTCTTATTTAAAAGACATTTTGTACAGTATCAAAATGTGACTCAATACCAACTGAAAAAATAGAGCTTGCATGGTCTATTATTTTAATAATGTTTTATTATTACTTTTAAGTTTTGAAGGTTGGTAGCAAAGTTAATGTTAACAATATAAATATTCTCTTTATATATGCTGAAATTCTCTTAAAAGTGTTGATAGGCAGCAAGCATTCTAGAATGGGCTTGCAAGGAAAATTAATTATTCCAATATCTAGCATAAATAAGATACATGATGAATTTACATTTACTTCTTTAACTTCCTTGTTATTCCTCATTTTCCTGGTTTATTCTTCATTTGATGTAATCTAAGCCCAAGGCTTTTAGCTGGAGCAATTATTTCCATTTTCCATAATTTCTTTTTAGTTTTTTCAAATATATGATAAAACGATCCAATAATCATTGCAGGAAGGAATGATCATTTAAGCTGGATCATGTTTTTTTTTGTCCTTTAATTTAAGAGATATTAATATTAGAGTCATAAAAGCTTTACAGTTTCAACACACACATATACACAATCACAGAATTAAAAATCTTTATGCCTAAAAAAAAGATCCATTTTGTTCAGCATATCAAACAAATTTTAGTCTAATGAAATCTGGAAAAATTGCTTTCATTAAATTCAGCAGCCTCTACTTACCTTTAAATATTTTACAGATGGAGCTAAGTTCAGTACTGATCCAAGGATGATGGCATCAAAGCCGTTTAACCCCAAATGATCTGTATTTCTGTAATGTACCACCAATTATTCTAGATTAATAATACCCTGTCTTTAACTTGGCATATACCATCTTTTGGAAAAAATTAGTTTTTTGAGATGAGATACAAGAACAAAATTATTCTTGAGGTTCCACCTCTAATATGCAGAAAGGACGATGTTTGCACATAGCAGCTAGTTTGATACCCATGTTCTGTTAGGCTAGCCTTCACACAATGAGCATGCATGTACAGCCACAGTTCACTGCAGCTGTTCTGAAGTTGAGAACTGCTGCTAATTCAAGTCACAGATGCCAACACATTATGCAACAAGACAGTGGAATTGTGTGTCCACCATGAGAAAAGGAAAATAAACGATGAAACAAATGCAGCAAATATAGGCAGCTGGCATTCAGAACATGCCAAAAAGCTAACACTCATGAACTGTCTTTATAAGGGTTTTTCTTTCCTTAAAAAAAAAGTCTTTGCATATTTGAAAATGTTACGGTCCCAGAGAATCATGAAGTGCCTTGTCGTTTTTGCTGCTGACTTCTGATGACCTCTAGCTGTTTTTTGCATTGCTGGTAGTAAGTAGAAAGGCTTTTGTTTTCATCTAAAAGCTTTTTATGTTCCTGTACCAGTCGAGATGTATTTTGCTGGTCCTTTTCATCCTGGTCCAATTCTGCAACTAGTTCCTGCCTAAAAAAAATAACCACATAATAAAATATTACAAATGATGGAAAAAGTCACACCTTGCTAGCTGATGATAGCTAAATTTGTGAGGACTTCTATTCTGAGTCTATCATTCTGTGTCTTAGGTATATTACTCCAATATAATTTCGGGCTGGAATGGAAGCCATCACCCACCCGTCTTGTGTAACTACACAAATATCATGATCCTTTCAGTAAGTCACTGGGCTTAGACAATTACTGAAAAAGACAAAATGGTAAAATAAGAGTTTTAAAAATTTTACTTAGTATCTTCTTTTTCGTAGAGAAAGGAAGGAAAAAAAAGCTAGGGAAGGTTGTTCATGGTTACAAAAAAAAATATGAGATCTTCATCATTTACATTCTACTTTTATACTCGAACACTCATTCTCTGAAGTCACAATTCTATTTAACTACAGTGCTGAGGGCTAACCAATAGAACACTTACAAACTCATTAAAATAGATGCTATCCAACCTTCAGTTCTTTCTGATTTTAAAACAGTGAGAACAATACAAAATATCAGTTTTAAACCATTTAAATTTGCCAATGTTTTCAGGGAAGACTCTCAGAATCCTTTACAGTCTGATAAACTTTTTAAAGTGAGGCTATTAAGCCAGCGCCACGGCTCACTAGACTAATCCTCCGCCTTGCGGCGCCGGCACACCGGGTTCTAGTCCCAGTTGGGGCGCCGGATTCTGTCCCGGTTGCCCCTCTTCCAGGCCAGCTCTCTGCTGTGGCCGGGAAGTGCAGTGGAGGATGGTCCAAGTACTTGGGCCCTGCACCCCATGGGAGACCAGGAGAAGCACCTGGTTCCTGTCATCGGATCAGCGCGGTGTGCTGGCCGCAGTGCGCCGGCCGTGGTGGCCATTGGAGGGTGAACCAATGGCAAAGGAAGACCTTTCTCTCTGTCTCTCTCTCTCTCACTTTCCACTCTGCCTGTCAAAAATAAATAAATAAATAAATAAAAATAAAGTGAGGCTATTGGATAAAATGAGTAACTAATAAAAAGCCCTTGAACAAAACAGCTTCCTAATATTTCTCATTTAAAATATTTGTTAACTTTAATTTTTTATATTTTAATATTTATAATTTTATCTAGTTATTAGTTTTTCATTTAATTAGAAAGGCAGAGAGAGACAGAGATCTTCCACGTTTTCTCCCCAAATGCCCTCAACTGCCAGGGCAGGGCCAGGTTGAAGCCAGAAACCTAGAACTCAACCAAGGTCTCCCATTTAGGTAGCAAGAATCCCAGTTATTTCAGCCATCATCTGTTGCCTCCCTAAGAACATGTTAGCAGGGCTGGAATTGGGAGCAAACCTGGCATTCTGATATGGGATGCTGGCATCCTAAGGGCTTCTTAACCATTGCACCAAACACCTAAAGCATGGATGGGTAACAACCAGCCCATGGATGTATAAGGCCTAAAAAATCATTTGGTCTGGCCCTGCCAAGGCAACTGCAGGCAGGACTCAAAACTCCCTAAGTCTACAGCAGGCTCATTTTTAAGTTGATAATTTTGTCTGGCCTGTAACTGATGTTCTAAATATCCAAATGGCCTTACCAGAAAAAAATACTTACCTTACTGACCTAAAGTATTTAATATACAGACATACGTATAGTTGCCATGATTTTTTCCTGTAGCAATTCATTTTAGTTACTACTTATAAACCAGATTAATAGGTATAAAGTTTCATGAAGGGTATATTTAAGAAAAATTGAAGATTTTTTTTCTTAAGAACTGTACATACAGTAAGTAGTAGTGTGGAAACTGGAATAATTTCTTAAAAATCAGAGGAAGACAGTTTCTGTAACACTCAGAAAAGCATGTGTAGATATAAAATTCACTAGAAAAACACTCATGGGTATGAAATATGCCCCTCTAATAAGCAATTTTACCCTCCTAAACATAATTTTTGAAAAAAAAAAAAATCCACATAAATGTTTCTAACATGCAACTGAATGTTAGCAATTAAAATTATTTTACCTATGTCCAAGGAAACAATAAACTTTATAATAGTAAACTTATATAGTTTGACTTTAAAACTCTTAAGAATGTAAAACACATAGATATACACTACCAGTTTATTTTCCTTAGTACTAACATGATGCAGTCAAGAGTCAAGTTTTACATGGAAAATAGTAAATGGCACTTAAAATATAAACATAAATTTGCAAGTTGGAAATGTGCTGAATGACTGATGCTAATAAAAATGATAAAGTTTCATGTCTTGAAACAATATTGTATCTTAACACATTTTAAGCTCAGGATAATAAATCATCATTTCTATTCATAAAAGAGGACTTACTTTCTCTGTAATAACAATGCAATTTCTGTTTGAACTTTCATATATTCTTGTGCCATTTTACAATGTTGTTCAAACACTGCCATAGATTCTTTGGAGTTTGGGCATGGTGCTAGAGGCTGAAAATAAGACAGGAAAGTTAAAGCATAATTAAATCAAATCTCAGTATCTAGCTAAGACGAAAGTTAAGACAGAGAATGTGATATATTTTTATAGCATGAAAGCAACAATCTTTTCAAGGTAAGTGTTAAACTATGCTCTAGAAAGTCTCAGTGTCTTTTGGTCAGAGTTAACTCAGAATTTAAATTTGCACTTGCTGTTTTAATACTTTTGCAGTTACACAAAAGCAGGTCTAGAATACACACATGCAGTCTCTAGTATGATGCTGCAGGTTGTCCAACTGTATTATACCAAAGACGTCCATGGCTCTCAGAATCATGAGGGTGCACTGAAGATTATAACTTCTGCTTTCAGTCACTATGAATATGAGAATGAATCCCAAAAGGTATCAAATAGGAATCAACTTACATGAATCTTATATTTTAATACATTAAAATTGAAGAGTGAAAATGCTATGCTTGGCAGTCTTCACCACAGAGGAGTATTTTTTTTTTTCTGCTTCTAGATTTTTCCCTCTGCTTTTTTTTTTTAATTTTTTTTTTAACTTTTATTTAATGAATATAAATTTCCAAAGTACGATTTATGGATTACAATGGCTTCCCCCCCATACCGTCCCTCCCACCCACAACCCTCCCCTTTCCCACTCCCTCTCCCCTTCCATTCACATCAAGATTCATTTTCGATTATCTTAATATACAGAAGATCAGCTTAGTATACATTAAGTAAGGATTTCAACAGTTTGCATCCCCATAGAAACACAAAGTGAAATATATTGTTTGAGTACTCGTTATAGCATTAAATCTCAATGCACAGCACATTAAGGACAGAGATCCTACATGAGGAGTAAGTGCACAGTGACTCCTGTTGTTGACTTTACCAATTGACACTCCTGTCTATGGCATCAGTAATCTCCCTATGCTCCAGTTATGAGTTTCCAAGGCTATGGAAGCCCTCTGAGTTCTCCGATTCTTATCTTGTTTAGACAAGGTCATAGTCAAAGTGGAGGTTCTCTCCTCCCTTCAGAGAAAGGTACCTCCTTCTTTGAAGACCTGTTCTTTCCACTGGGATCTCACTCACAGAGATCTTTTGCCAGAGTGTCTTGGCTTTCCATGCCTGAAATACTCTCATGGGCTTTTCAGCCAGATGTGAATGCCTTTAGGGCTGATTCTGAGGCCAGAGTGCTATTTAGGACATCTGCCATTCTATGAGTCTGCTGAGTATCTCACTTCCCATGTTGGATCACTCTCCCCTTTATTTATACCACAGAGGAGTATTTTAAGAGGACTGTCAGGGTGCGTCTGTCAATCTTAAATTTCATTAACTAAAATAATTATTTATTTGAACTTGATTTCAGGACATTTTATAGAAGGCCATATATAAAAGTAGAGATGAATGAATATAAAATGAATAGGAACACAACTGTAAGCTTGAAAGATAAAGTTCCCCTTTACCTGTAGTTGGTGATCCAGTGTAAGATAGGCCATAGGGATGGAGTTATCTGATCCATTGGTATCTGAAATTCAAGCATATATTTTATTTATTTCTGTCATACACAGTCATAAACAACAAGCAAGAAACCATTCATGAGGTATTGGTTTTCTCTGCTAAAATAAATGACATGGAAAAGTTACTGCTATTGGAAATCAAGAATCTAATTTTCAATTCTAAAGGTAAAAAGAGGACAATGATCAGTTAATTAGAATGCAATTATATTCTCTTACCTGCAATGTAAGTTGGCTATACGTTGAACAGAATACAATATTAGACTGTAAGTACTTGTTTGATTAAAAACAGTGATATAGGCCCTTTATATTCTAAATTCAGTCTCATTTGACCCTACCTAATAAAACCCTAATCTTTCTTCATCCTGCTAAATTTACTAAAAGGCTCTGTGAACTCTGTCAATAGGTGTTCCTTAATAAAGAAGGGGAGAAAGCAAGATACACACTCTTTTCCAATTTATACAGATTCTAAAGTGAACTTCCATTTCGCCCATAAGTAAGACTCACTATAGAAAATAGAGACACTGTGAGTATATTACACATACGAACAAGACAGAAACAAAAAGGTTTGAAACTGTGACCAACCCTCTCCCCACTTCCAAAAGTCATTTCAAACTATGCTCTCCTGTGCTTTGCACAAAAGTAAAATGGAATAAAAAAGTCCCCTGACTTAATAGGAAAAATTAACATCTCCACTCCTATTATTCTTTCTTAAATCACTAACACCTTATATCTCATTATATTAACACCTTGTTTCTGATGTGTATTTTATTCACATTTTTTTGCCAGATAAATTATTATTTATTATTTATAATTCAAATTAACTCTTTCCATATGATTTCTTTGACATTTCTTTTTTTTAAACTTTTGTTTAGTATATATAATTTTTCCAAAGTATAGTTTATGGATTACAATGGCTTTTCCCCCCCATAACTTCCCTCCCACCTGCACCCCTCCCATCTCCTGTTCCCTCTCCCATTCCATTCACATCAAGATTCATTTTCAATTATCTTTATGTACAGAAGATTGATTTAGTATATTTTAAAAAATGTTTACTTATTTTCATCTACTTGAAAGGTACCGCACAACAGACAGAAAGAAACAGAGATCTTTTATCCACTGTTTCACTCCTCAAATGGCTGCAACAGTCAGGGCTGGGACAGGCTGAAGCCAGGAACCCAGAACTCTATCCAGGTCTCCCATGTGATTGGCCAGAACCCAATTACTGTGCCATCATCTGTTACCTGCTAGGATGCATTAGCAGGAAGTTGGATCAGAAGTGGAGCAACCCGTACTTGAACTGGCACTCTGGTATGGGAATGTGGGTTTCCCAAGTGTTGCTTAACCTGCTATGCCACAATAACTGTTCCTAGTATGTATTTTAGAATGAATACATACATGTTTCACAGTATATTATGAATGGGCAAAAAGTCCAGGAATGGGGCAGGTGTAGGGCACAGTGGTTACATGCTTCTTAGAATACACACATCCAATCATGGGGTGTCTGGTTTGGGTCTCGGCTACTCTGCTTCTGATCCAGCTTCTTGCTAATGAGTACCATAGGGGGCAGTAGGTGATGGATCAGGTACTAGGGTCAATGCCACCTACATGGGAGACCAGTATAGAGTTCTGGGCTGTTGACTTTGCCCTGGTCCAGCACAGGCTATTGAGGGCATTTGTGGAGTGAACCAATGATAGGTGGATGATCTCTCTTCGTCTCTTTTTCTCTTTGCCTTGCAATTAAATGAAGAAACAAAACAAAAAACCCCAAAACTGAACTCTTATCAGCAAATAATTTCTTAAAAGAGGAAAAAAAAAACCAAAAACTCCCCAAAATTTTGCTATTCAAAATAATTAAAATCCTTACACAGAAGGGTTTTAATTATTGAATTTCATGTTTTCTCTAAGTGGGGTTTCACTTCTGACTTTTACCTAAGTTGAAACCAAGCTTCAGTAAGAACAGTAATTGGTCACAAAATGGCAAAGTTATTCCATGAAAGCTTTGAAAAATGTTTCAATTGGTAATCAAACTCAACCTCTTTTTATAAAAAAAAAAAATTATTTATTTCAAAGTCAGAATTACAGAGAAAGAAGGAGAGACTAGTTCACTCCCCAGATAGCTATGATGGCCAGGGCTGGGCCAGGCGGAAGCCAGGAGCTTCATCTGGGTCTCCTGCATGGGTGGTAGATGCCCAAACACCTAGGCCATCCTCTGCTGCTTTTTTCAAGCCATCATTAGCAGGGAGGTGGAATGGAAGTGGGGCAGACAGGACACAAACTGGTGCCCATGTGAGACCGGCTATGCCACAACACCAGCCCCCAAACCAACCTCTTGTAAATGTCAAGATTTACATTGGTTTGGTTAAACTCGGCAGGTCCTCCTTTTCAGGTCCCTCCCAACATTACACCTGTTTCACCTTTTATTCCTTAAGTATACCTTCCTTCACTTTACACGGAACACTGCCTTCTCCTTTTTGCTTTATGACTTGACACTAACCCTCACCTTTTAATGAAAAAGTTACAGACTATGCCAGGTTTTATTTGATTTTTCTTTTTAACTATTAGAACCCTCAGCCTTTAGTACAAATGTAGTAGTTTATGATGCTTATTTTTTTGTGTCAGTATAATAATACTATTCCTGAATGCAAGGGATGGGCCAGGTCACATAGGTGTGTCTTTGCACAGTAGCAAGCACAGCAGGAACTGCGTCTCCTCCCCTGGGTCTAGGTACAGATGTCGTTCTTTATATCCCATTATATTGTAAATAGAGACTGAGAAGCACTATCTGCTATGATTATTATCATTATGCTGTTTATCTGGAAATACACAGAAACTTTTGTTCTAAATTTAAAAAATCTAATTAATCAGGTTGTTTTAACTTATGCTTATATTCTTAATTTTTTCTTAAGTCACAGAAATCTGTTCCCAGAATGTATTCAGCTTGGTTATCAATACTTCTTAGAAATCCTGTAAGGGGCCAGCATTGTGGTACCGTGAATTCAGCTGCCACTTAACAGTGCTGGCATCCTGTATTGGAGGGCTGATTTGAGTCCCAGCTGCTGTTACTCTGATTCAGCTTCCTGTGAATGCTCCTGGGAAAGCCAGAAGCGAGGCACTTCTTCCAGGTCTCCCAAGTGGGTGCAGGGGTCCAAATACTTGGGCCATTTTCTATTGCTTTCCCAGGCCATAGCAGAGAGCTGGATGGAAGTAGAACAGCCAGAACTTGAACTGGCACCCACATGGTATGCTGGTGCTGCAGGCAGCAGCTTTACCTGCTAAGCCACAGTGCTGGCCCCAAAACTGAGTTACTGTTAACTTAAACCAGAGTCTCAGTTTTAAAAATGTATTTAAAATTATTTCAAAGCAAAGAAAAAATTAAGTTGATAATTCAATGTAGGCTCAAGTAAGATTTCTAGTTAAGTGAGAGATACTTAAAAGATTTTTGATTTCACCCCTGTGAACTGACAATCTGTCACATTGTTGACTGGTGTGTGTAGATAAGTCTAGGCTGCAGCTAGGAGCCTCTGTCAAGTTGAGCATAGACCTGGGCAAATGCTGCCATAATGTCAGGGATAGTATTCCTCCACTGGAACATTCAGGAAACAAATCTCATGAGTGCTAATGATAAAGTCTGGTGAGAGCATTTTCCTGTCTACAGACGGGAGGACCCCATCTATGATGGACTTTTGCACATATGCTGAGTACTGGTGAAGGTCTAAGACAATTCCAGGCTGTGATGTGCTAGGAGCAAAACCTAGAGGAGGTTTTGCCACTACTAAATTTAAACTTACTAAAACTAAAGAGTACAGCCCTGGCTAAACATAGCCCTATCTTACATGACACAGAGAAAAGCCACTCTGTTAATTTTTTTTAAATTAAATTATAATTGACTAAACTGTGCCAAATAGCTATTAATACTTGAGTCATGTTTTAGTTTGTAAACACAGAAAGCTGACTTTTTAATTTCAATTTAATTGCCACTATTAATAACATAGTTGATGTAATATAAAAATCTCAAATGGTTTAATTTTTCAAAGTATAAGAGATCATCTTTCATTCTCTGACTTAATAATATATAAATAAAAATTTTTATATAAATATATTGCTGAGTATTTATCAAGGCATTCTCTTAGTGTTAGGGAAATTTTAATTGTATAATAGTACATTATTTTCTGCTTGCCTATAATGAAACTACTTTATCAATACCTTCAGAAGGTATAATTTAATACTCACACTGTGACCAGTTATTCATGTTGTGGAGTTTCAATAACTCTTAACAGGCTATTAAAGATCCATTAATAGGATATTTATGTGACAGAAGTGATATATCTGTATCAGCTAAAAATGATTCAGAAGGTCAGAAATTTTCCTCTGAGGTATAAATTGTATAGTTCTTTCAACCAAAGAATGTGATGAAGATGATGATTTTTTTTTTTACTATTCTGCTGATTTTAGTTATTTAAAAGATAATGACTTTACTACTATCACCGTGTAGGATGCATCATAATAATACCACAGACTGAAGTATCAAGAGTATAATTTACTACCTAACTGGGAAAAACCCAGAACAAACTACCTCCAAAACACCTGTTTAGTACTGGGAGGAAAAAATGAAGAGCAAGGCCATCCTTCTGTCCCAGTACACAAAAAAGACACTTGAAAATTTATTCCTAAATTGTTGATTTTACTAATTATGAAAATTTAAACCACTGTATAATGCCCGCCTTTGTAAAGATTAGGGTAAGGATACAACCAAATGAACACAAACATGAGGAATTGACAGGTCACCTGTGGAATCATCAGGGGTCCATGGATGACTTCGAGCCGGCTTTTCTGAGGTTGGTCCTGAGGTAGTGATCATTCTGACACTAGGACTGGATGACCTACTGCTCACCTGTAAGAAGTGACAGGAGAAACAAAATAGGATTTTGATTAAAAAATTGATAAGAGAACATTTCAATTAAAAAACAAAGGATAGACTTCCATTTCTATTCACAGAGGTCCTCAAGCACTCCTGCAAAAAAACCCTCAAAGAGTGATATTTATGTATGTTACTGTTTATATGCACTCACACGATACCTCTTAAGAATTGATGAGAAAATAAGTGAAAAATTCTTTTGAGACCAGAAACAAACCAAGACAAGATACTAGCAGGGACTTAAGCTGCTAGTCCTGGGTTTCAAGTGAATACCAATGGCCTAGAGCTTGTGTTTTGACTGCCTGTTCCAGTCAGAGGAACAGAAGATAAAAACTTTGTAGGATGGAAATAAGAATGGATAAGTTTGGCTTTAAGCCAAAACTCAGGAAAGGTCATATTCATAGAAAAATGAACAAGGAAAATAAAAAAAGAGCTGCCCTATAAAAGCAGCAAGTCAATTTTTCAGTGTTGGTAGTGGCTCTGGGTGTAGGGGAGAGAGAAATTTCCAGAATTGATGGAAGACACAATAAATCCTAAGCATAAAACAATAAAACTCACATTTTGAATTAAACATTGGGATATAGAAAATAGATGGACTATAGAAAAGGCAGTCAGGGGGAAGACAGGTTACCCAGAAAAAAATACCAGAAACAACAAGGGGAGCCAGAAAGAAGTAGAGAGCATTCAAAGTGAAAACAAATGCCAATGTAGAATTGTTTAGCCAACAAAAATGTGAAGAATGAGGTCAAAATAACATTTTTGGATGAGCCAAAATGGAGTTAACTATCCAAACTCTTGTCATAGCAATTTCTAAAATTATGTACTTTAGGAAGAAGAAAAAACTTTTCTTGATTGAAGGATCAAGATATAGTAACAGATACTGGTAAACAAGGAGCTAAGTCTAAACACTGAAAATATTAAGAATGGAAATGGGTACTAAACTTGTAAAATTATCAAACAAGCAAGATGGTACTAAAATGGTACAAACAAGAAGAACACTGATTTTCATATCCTTGTGTGGTTCAGGATAAGGTAAACATATTAATGCAGGTGGTATGACAGAAGTATTAACTACAATTAGTGATATTTCACAAGTGTTAACAACAGTAGTAACATATAATCCCCAAGCCAGAAAGAAACATAGTGAACTGAGAAATAAATTTACTCAATTCAAAAATAAGGCAAGAAAGGAGAAAAAAAAGAGAAACAAAGGAAACCAGACAGTAAGAGGATGCAAACTTAGTAACCATATGAATATAAATTGATTAAACTCTCTAATTAAGATACTAAAAAACAAATCAAACTGCCAGGTTGAATTAAATGCTATTTATAAGAGAGATCTATACAGATAGAGAAAAATAAAGAATAAAAAAGATAACCAGGTAAAAGTACCCAAAGTAGATAAGTATTTTATATTAATACCAGATAGAATACATTTTAGGCTTCCCCCAAAATGATTGGAGGAAGAGATAAAATGATAAGTGGTCCAATTCAGAATATACCAATAAAGCCAAAAAACAAAACAAAACAAAAACAAAAACACACACACACAAACCAAAAAACAAGAGCTTAACAAAACTCTAAAGCAAAAGGGATACACACCTACTATCAGAGTGAAATATTTTAACAGTCTGTAAGTGATACATAAAAACAGATTACAAAAAAACGCATACAACACAGTGAAATCTGAACTCCATAAAAAGTAAGCTTGTGTTAAATAAATATGACCCCATGCCTGCTAAAGGAAGAATGTACCCTCTTTTTAAGCATTCATAGAACATTTTTGAAAATTGACCATATACAAAACTATGAAGCAAATCCAGGAAAGGTTAAAAAAAATTTCTATATTATATAAATCATATGAGGCAAGGGATCCAACTTACATAGTTAGGAAAAGAACCAAGATACAAGCTTCCTCAAATGAAAAATAGTACCTAGTAAGTTAAAAAATTTTTTTAGGGGCTGGTGCTGTGGCGCAGCGGATTAATGCCCTGGCCTGAAGTGCCTGCATCCGAGTGCAGATGAGACCCATATGAGACCTGGCTGCTCCACTTCTGATCCAGCTCTCTGCTATGGCCTGGGAATGCAGTAGAGGATGGCCCAAACCCTTGGGCCCTTGCACCTGTGTGGGAGACCCAGAGGAAGCTCCTGGCTCCTGGCTTTGGATTGGCGCAGCTCCAGCTGTTGCAGCCAACTGGGGAGTGAACCAGAGGATGGAAGAACTCTCTCTCTCTGCCTCTCCTCTATCTCTAACTCTTTCAAATAAATAAATCTTAAAAAAACTTTTTTAAGTAAAATAGACACATTCCAAACAATACATAAATAGTCAAAACTTCCATACATTATAGGAAACATCAAACTCAGGGGGTTTCATAGGCAAGTATCATCAAACATTCAAGAAAAAGTCTTTTACAGTGTTAAAGAGGGGCTGTGTTGTGGCGCAGCAGGTTAAACTGCTGCCTGTGATGCTGGTAGCCCCAATAGCTGGCAGCCAAGTATCAGGTGCTGGTTCAAGTCCCAGCTATTCTGCTTCTGATCCAGCTCTCTGTTAATATGCCTGGGAAGGAAGCAGGGGATGGTACAAATACTTGAACTGTCTGTCACCTACGTGGCAGATCCAGGTAAGAGTTCTGGGTTCCTGGCTCTGCCTTGGCATCAAAATGCCATTTGGGGAGTGAACTAGTGGATGGAACATCTCTTTCTCTCTGTCTCTCCCTCTCTCTGTCACTCTGCCTTTCAAATAAGACTTTAAAAAAAGGGGGGAGAAGCCATTCTAGGAAATAGAAAAAATAATTCCTGGCTCATGTTATGAAGGCAGAAAACCCTGTTAATCACACAAGAACAGTATGAGAGAAAAATTACTAGCCAACCTCATGAAAATAGATGAAAAAGTCACACTGAATCTGAAATATAAAAGCAGTAAAAACCATTAAAAAAGTTGAGTTTATCTAACAAATAGAAAGGTCACAAACCTGACATCAGGAATTCTATTAAAGAAATTCATCACAATAGATGAGGGGAGAAAACCTCAATAGATGCATAAAACATCTGAAACAAATTTAACACCCATTCATAAAAAATACACATAACAAAAATAAATTTCATTTAAAAGAGGTAACTTCTTAGCCCGACAAAAGAACACATAGGGACCCTCACTAGGATTGTTAATAGTCCATTTCTTAAGTTGGGGTGGTAGTTTCTTATCAGATTTCTTAACTTAGAAATTATATACACATTCTTGCTTACATATTAATATTCCAAATATTAAAAATTCTCAAAGAATATATAAAATGGATTACATATGCTTTAAAAAAGATTTATTTATTTGAAAGGCAGAGTGACAGAGAAGAGAGGGAGAAACATGGAGAGATCTTCCACCTGATGATGGTTCATTTCCCAAATGTTCACAATAACCAGGAGTTGGCCAGGGGAAAGTCAGGAGCCAGGAACTCCATCTGGGTTTCCTACAGAGGAGCCAGGGACTCAAGTACTTGGGCCATCATCCGCTGCCTCCCAGAAGCATGGAGAAGTCAGCACTTGGCCCATGAACTGCAGTATGACACATATGTGTCCACAAAGCCCATTTTGCATACTATTTTTTAAAAAGCACTCTTTTTTTCTTCAAGTGTTACTGAATATCAAATAGGCTCAAAAAAAAAAAAAAAACCCATGGAAGCAAAATGTATATATTAAAAACTAAATTCATGAAGAATTTTATTACAGTTTCAATATGTAAGCACAGAAACTCTCAAATTCAAGACTGTATCAAGTAAAATGAAAGGCAACAGAAGAGAGAAAGTACCCAGTAGATGTGGAGTTTTAACTATGCTGTAACATCTGCCTTTGGTCACTTCAGCAATTCTAGTGTTCTCTATCTGGACATGGGTAGCAGTACGGGCAGGGCTCAGAGGTTGACTTTTAGTGTCTTATACAGTGCTAAAATTTGGTGATCTTAAGCTTTGTAAACCCATGATAGTAGGTATTGTAAATACCCAAAGGGACCTCAATTACAATTTCAGAGGTAAAAATCACAAAATAATTTTGAAGAAAGACATAAAATACTATTTTCATCTTGTGTACCTACTGAAATGGCTTAAATTTGAGAAAGTTTTCCTATGCCATAAACAATTTTTAATTGTGTCAGATCAGTGTTTGAAATCTGCTTCATTCTTGCCACTTGGTCTATCACAATGCTCATTCTGTTTTTCTCTCCTCCTTGCTAATACCTCCCCATCCTGAAAGGCCTGGCTTAGATTTCTTTCAATATTATGTGGTCATTTATGCCAGTTCTTTGCAAAAGACCTGTGTTTGAGGACAACAAGGAGTGACTGGTAGTATACCAAATGCAAAATGTTCATTTACTTATTAGTGGATCAGTTCTGAAATTTTCACTCTGGTATTCATGAGCTTCCTTCTAGGTTTATCTTACCCATCCATATTCTCTCCTATTTCATTTCCTTACGTCCTTCTTTCTTTCCAAAATACTCTTGACTCTTCATTCAAGTATAGTAGGTGTAGTGTTCGGAGAATGTATGAAACAGACACATATTAAACTGCCAATTTTGTATGTCAAATAGTAATTTCATATGGGTCAGCTAATACTTTGGAGACCTGGGCTTAAATTTCAGTTCTGTCATTTATGGCCCTGTGAACTTGTATAAGTAATTCATCCTCTTTAGCTTTAGGTTTCTCATTTATGACATGTGGTTGAGAAGGTGTAGTAAAAAGCAAAAAGGCAGGCCTTGGAGACCAGTCACTCCAGTACGAGTTTCTGCTCTGCCTTAAGTTGTGCAGCTCTAGTTATTCAACCTCTGAGACTCAAGAGTAAAATAAGGACAGTATTACCTACCTCATCAGGTTGTAAAAATGTAATGAAATGATGTATAGTAAGTATGTTAACCCAATAAAAATGCTCATTAAATGCTGAATAGTTAAGTGGTTGTAAACGCAAGATGGGAATATATGAGTAGGCTTGT